TTCTTATTTGAAAAAGGACGGGCACACGGACAGTATTGCCGCCTGATTTCTAAATATTTGACAGACTAAACAATTTTAATATTTCAAATAATTTCTCATAAGAAGGTTATTGGTGCGAGAGCGCCAAGGATAAACAAGACGAACCCGAAAATTCCAGAGAGCGAAGTGACACGGTCTAAGGCCTCCGTCCGCCTGATTCCTCCACTAGATGGCAGCACAGAGTAGCGTAGCGGAAGCAGCCCACCGGTGACCGGTGCGTGCGAGAGAGACAGGTAGTCCCTGTGCGAGAGAGCACGAGAGAGAGAGAGAGAGAGAGACAACGGCTCGTGCGCAGCGCACGGCGCGACTAGGCGACGGCGACAGGCAGCCAGAAAGCAAAGCAGTTGGCAGGCTGCTCCTTACGCTACGCTTCACACCGTGTCGCATCACATCGCATCGCCCGCTGACCTCTAGACGCAGTTTGACCTCCCTCGGAAAGTCCGACCCGGCGCTTCTAACTTAGTTCCCCAGCGCAACACAGGTAGGCCTGCGTCGGTCAGTGTCTCATCACTTCGCAGTTTGTCCAGAGCAGTCCAGAGTGGCGGCGGGGCGTGTGGCGTAGAGTCGTAGCACGGAAACACAGAGGCCAAGGCAGAAAACACTATACAAACACTATACACCATTCAGTCGAAAATCAACCAGAGTGCAACATTCGTAGACACGTGTGTTTGAATTAGCATACCAAAGACATGACAGAAATTGCGGTTGAAAACAGTTTCACGAATAGGTTATGGTGCTTTGTTGTGACACCCCCCCCCCCTACTCCGCCACACAGGGTAACTCGTCACAGCCGAGTGCATCGCACACGCGAGCCGGGAAGGGATTGGGGGGGGGGGGACAAAAACAACAGCGGGTGGCTAAATTTTAAACTTTGTGTCGTGTGTGTCTGCATTAGCTATGGAGCAACTTCCCGACGACGTGGTGCTGATGGTGTTTCGGCACGTGGACGTCAACGACCTCTTCACGTTCCGGAGCGTGTGCAAGCGGCTCGGCGGCCTGGCCATGCATCCCGGAGTGTGGCGCCACCGACGTTATTCGGGCCTGTACATGAGCTCTGACGGCCGCAAGAAGCTGTGTCGGACGCTGCGCCTGGCGCCGCGCCTGGCCTATCTGTCCATCAGCATCGCGCCGAAGGAGGGCCACTTCCTGCTGTACGCCACGACCCGGTGCGCGGTGCGTCGGCTCACATTGGAGGTGTCCAGCACCGGCTCCGTGCATGCTGCACTCATGGTGCGAAATCAGGAGGCTCTCGGCCAGCTCAAGGTCGTCGAGTTATCGCTCAACAGTCCACCCGTTGCCGACGCCGCCGTGCTCCTCGGGACGTTGGCTTCGACGTCCGGCTTGGAGAAGCTCGTGTTCAAGAGATTCGGTTTGGTCGGCGGACTCTCCGCGGGCATCATGCACGCTTCCATGGCCCGGCCGTCCCTCAAGTATTTCAAGTGCAGTCTCAGCTCAGAGTCACAGCCCTTCGTCGACCTGGTGCTGGCCGGGCACGCCGCTACCCTCGAGGTGGTCAACCTCACAGAACCCTTCCATTTCATCACGACCTCGACGGGGTCACTGCCGGCCTGTATGCCCAACCTCAGGGAGCTCACCTGCTCGCTGCTCCCCGGCATGGAGACCCTGGGTCCGTCACTGACGAAGGTGACGCTGCACGTGACCCCCGACATGCGGCAAGGAGTACTCGGGGCCACGGAGATGCTGCGGCGCGCCCCCAAGCTCCGCGAGCTCACCCTAAAGTACCGCCCCGCGGCCCGCACCTCGGCTCACGTCGGCGTCGCTCTGGTCGAGGCACTGACGGCGTGGTCGGGACGGTCTGCCGTGGAGGTGCTGGAGATCGACAACAATTGCGAGGGCGAGGACAGAGACGACGACGACGGGGTCGAGTTCCTCCCTCAGCTGCAGCCGCTGCTCAGGACGCTGCCCTTTTTACTGTCGCTGCGGCACCTCGAGCTGACTGTGTATGTCCCTCCCGACGAGCTGCTTCTGACAATCACGCCGGAGACTTTGCCGGCCCTGCGGGAACTCAAGTTGCGTCCGATGAGATGGCTGCCCGCTCGCTGCGCCCACGACTGGCGTCACAAGGACTCGGTCCAGACCCTGCTGTCGGTTAATCCAGCGCTCAAGTTTAGTGTGTTCACAACACCGTACTGCCTCAAGGGTCAGCGCGAGTCCTGTGGGTCCTGCGCACAGGGCTGCCACAACACATCGTGGGATTGGGATTGGGAAGTGGAGTATGACGAGGATGATGACGTTACCAGATCAGACTATCAGGACTGGATCCATATTCAATGAACCACTAATAGTTTTTT